TTTATAAAAAAAAAAAAAAAAAAAAAAAAAAAAAAAAAAAAAAAAAAAACGACCGACCGACCCAAATTTCAGATTTCATGTTATGTTAAATGAAAAATTTACTTTGCGTGGCCTTTATATGATTTTTTTTTATTTTTTTTTATACGCTCCTTTTAATATGCATAACTATAAATTTAATTATCACCATCTTCGAACCAACCATCAACCTCAATTCCTTTTTAAATTCTTAAATTCTGATAGATTGCAACAAGTTTTTTTACCCGTTCTATTTAATAAATTTTTCATACTTTTTGAAGCTTTTTGCATCTATATAAGTAATCCTTTAATCAAGTGACTAAATCCACAAAGTCCTCTCCACAGTAGTTACACTTTTGGTGAGGTGCAGTTTCCATAACTTTTGTAAAATTCAAGCGAATTTCTTTTAATGGAGGCCTTCCACGGAGCATTATTGTTTATAATTTTTAAATTTTAAAAAGAGATAACGATAAAGTTGTATTTTGACGAATTAGTTAAATAAATAAATACTATCCCATTGTTACGTATTACGTCATAATATATTAAATCATTTTAAATCAAACAATCATGTTTTAAAACATCCCTAGTTATAACTATAACGTAACTTATTATCGTTGTAGTTGCCAAATGAAGTCTGATGATTGAAAACATTATCATTTGAAATTTGCATTTAGTATTTTTGACAAATCCGAAATATTACAATGATGAAATTATTCATACTGGCTAAATATTTCGGATTTTACCATTAAAATATAATTTGCCCTATTGGCAAAATATCTTAGGCTTTGGAAAGTAGTACTAATTAATATAACAGTTATTAATGAATATGAAATCTTATTTAAATCATAAACTTAATTAAATTGATAATATTTTTACATTCTGAAATAAAAAAATTATTATATTTTATTAAGAACTCACAGCCCACAGTACTTTTTATCCTGTACTATTTATCATATGCTACATATTATAAAGCTGAGATTTTTAAAAAGATTTTATATAGAGTTTACTGTGTAAAAAAGAAAAAAAGAAGATTAAGTAAACTAACTAGTTATTTAAAAGAGATTATTTTTTTTTTAAATAACTTAAAATGCTAAAAGGAGTGAAAAAAAATTTGATTCACAACGTTTAGTCATATTGGGGATAAAAAAGTTATAACTCGATTGATTTTAATATCATTTAAATATTGACCTTTAAAATAATACACTATATATTTAACTACATACAGTCCTCCTCCTCTACAGTCACCTCCTATATAGTCACACTCTTTATAAGCACTATTTTTTGAATATTCATTGTAAATTTATTTATTAAAAAAACTTTATATAATCACATTACTATTAAAATTTTATAATCACTTCTTTCTTACGTAAAATAAATCGCGTGATTATAGAGGAGGGCGACTGTATTACATTTATAATGGAAGCACCTATTTAACAAATACACCTGAATATTGATATTAAAATTACGTAATAAATTAAACAAATCAATTATTTTTGCAATAATTTTTCGCTAATTAAATTCTCAGTAAATTCCCAAAGTCTCTTAGTTAAATTATCATCATAACCATATGAAGACCTTTTTTCAGCTTCTATACCAAATGGTTCAAAGTACTTTCCATGATAATTTTTCTCTTCGATTTCTGGACTGGTAGCACAATATAAAGTAGTAATAGCTTCATCATCAGGTGAGATTGAAGAAGATACAAAAGTTTCTGGGAAAGATAAATCATTCTTTCTTAACAGGTAGTATCTACGACTCCTAATAATAAATAATATAAATCGGTTAATTAAATATAGTTGTTTTAGTTAAATTTCGAAAGGTTTTTTTTTTATTATATCTGGATGAAGAGAGTTAGCAAACACTTGTACTCCTTCAGGGAATCGTTTATTTAATTCGTTAGTAAATATAATGTTTGCAATTTTTGATTGTAAATAATGTTGTCTTGGGTCATGTGTATTTGGATCATTTAATTTTTCGAATTCAATTCCACCCTCAGGAATAAGTTTATGAGCATGACTGCTAATATTTACTATACGTGCTGGTTGTGAGGCTTTAATTTTTGGCAATAATAGCTTAGTAAGAAGCTAATAATACAAATATATATACATTATTATTAATGGATAGCAGCGCGCCGTACTACCGGTAGTACATTGTACTACATTGTGACAGTTTTTGAAAGCAAATATCCACTAATTTAAAAAATTAAATACCTTATTAAATATTTTTTTAAAGTATATTAAGTTTATGCAATTACATAATAAAGATTTTAATAACTCTAAATATTTTTTAAAATTTTATAAAAAGTTTTTTTTACCTACAATTTTTAGCAAAACCTAGTTTTTATATAGTAAATTTGAA